CGTTCTACAGTAGAAATAGCGACATCGACTTTTTCTATGTCAAACGAGTTTACGCTGTGATCACTCAAGGTGTATAGTCTTGTGTTGCTTTCCGCTCTATCTATGGCTGAGTGTTATTCGGTAAAAGGTCAAAAAAGGCGTATATGGCGTAAATGATAAGCCTATATAGCTCTGGGGTACATAGAGAGACTCTACTCGTCTCTAGGTTGGGCTTGATTTACATTCTCGAGATGCATGTCGTGGTTATTTTGAGAAAGCATGCGAAATGAGTTAATGAGGCAGCGGTTGCATAAATATCATCTGCTGATTTTTTGTATTAAGAATGATGTACGAAATGCTCCGATGGTTGACCGTCGGTTATTTGCAAATATGATCTTATGTGTCATGTAAGAAAAGCCAGAGCTTCTGCTTGTAGTTCGGACTACCATGGGAGGGGTCATTGGCTATGTCTATGCAGTGAAGTTAGTAAAGTTACGTAGAGGGCTATTGAGAATGGGAAGCGATTTCTTCAGAACGTCTCGTTGTTGATTACTTTGCAATTGAAAATTCGTAACGATCTTCATAAAGCGGGCGAAAGGCAAAATACTGAGTTGAAAAAATTTCAATGGAATTTAGTACAGCTTTTCCTTTTTATGTCATCTTAAAATCCTCGTACATCTGTTGAATGATGATATTCGTGTGGTTTTTTTCACAACTGATGCTGATATTCACATGTTCAGTGGGTAGCAGTAGCAGGGTCATAGCAAACATTCTTCTTCTCTTCTTTACGAACTCTTCAACGTTGAATTAGACGAAAGTCCTCAATTTGAAAAGAGCTTAATCGTTACGAGTTACCAGTCCTTCAACAGTTATCCATTTTTCTCCTTGAATCCTACTTTTTGAGCATATTATAGCTAGATAGCAACCAATTGAAGATTAATTAGTTGTATACGATTTGATTTCTCCATTGCGCGCACTAACATATATGATCTTTGAATGAGGAAGGCGGTAATCATGATACTGTATGAAAGGATAAAGAACTGCCAAGATCGAGATGATTTCATCTTTTCCTCACAAAGATTCGATCGATCTTAGAATTAACCGTGCCCTTGGAAATTCCACGTTTAGCGATGGTGATTCTTCTTCTTGGAAAAAGTTTTCCTTCGAGAAAAAGAGCCGAAAAATATGTTTCTGCAGATTGATCCTCATTTCTACTGTGAGGTGCTGATCAGGATCTCCAATTCCGTGTTTCTGTTCTCATTTCATTTTATCCTTACATGGAAGTCGCCCGTAGTAATGTTATTGAAGAAATGTTCGCTATCGGTAAGTTAATGAGGTCTTTTATCAGCATTAAGTGCTGATATATCTTGCCCAAGATGTCAAGGATTTCGTCGTTTATTTGCTAAATGACATGTTTCTAATTCCAAATTTCTAGATTGGCTATCACATCCTAATCGAAGGTGGTCTGGAGCCTCAAAAAAGTAATGATCTGAAGAATAAAACTGAAGGTCTGTGAATTTAACTGGAAGCAACATTACTGTCATGCTGTGGTACATCATTATTTACCAGTTTCAGCAGGTTCCTCTTTCCTAAATTTGAGTTTGCTCGAAATACTGAAGTATCCATGCTAACTCTGGCCAGCCCTCTTGAAACAGAAGGATAATCCACAGTTCGATCGGAGCACATTCTTGATTGCTGAATGTCATGTATATGAAAGCGAATCATTTCAATATACAGGTAGTTCAGCAATTCTACATACTAATTTCTAAGGTTATTTCTATGACAGTTTACAACACCGAGCTATTCCAACTTTAGCTTGTAGGTTGAAACGATTAAACGTGTTTCTTTTTTTTCCAAGAAAATCCTTATGCAACTCCAAAATTTTAAAATGATCTTCTGTAATTAGTGCAGTTACATTCTCACTTTGAATTCCCATAATTAGTTTACGTCTTCGTATTTTCTAATTTGGCTTAAAAAGGAAACAAAAGGAAGGAAATTATGAAGGGTTCAAGAACGACGATTACACACTTAAGCCTAATCTTGTATTGAATTTCTTGTACTATCTCATTTTCGAGCGCATGTGACGCAGTGATCAAAGGTGCTTTCCGTCGAACACGAGGTCACTGGTTCGATCAAGCGCTCATGGCTCACCAAGCCATTCATCCCTCCTGAGTCGGTAAACTGGTGACCAGAATGGTCTCAGACTTGTCTAGGAGGATAAGCAGCATTGATTCGGCTCAGCGGGAGGCCACCGCGAGTCATTGTAAAGGCCACATATGCATTCAATGCCATCAAACGAAGTTAAAAGTCGAAGACGAATGCATGGCGCATCCCTTAGGGATTGATCAATGCCGAGAGCTTTATTCTTCAGCTATTATCTCATTTTCAATATATGTTAGTTCGTAATCTCAACTTCTTATCTTTTTCAGGAAACTTTTTTCAGTGTGCAGAGTCCTGAAACTTACTTGAATTTCGATCTACGAACTTGCCAAGACGCTCATCTAATATTAATGTACATTTTCAATGATGCACTGCTACTGAAAATTTACTATTTGATGAACGTTTAAGAGTTCTGATTTCTTCTTTTCATGAAGATCTACTCAAATTCCACCCCTCTATGTTCATTTCATGTGTTATCTTGAATGAACATATGTACAAAACTTTCCAACAGTATAACGAGCCGAAGAATATTCGACAAGGATTGCCGCTTGAATCCAAAAACCAGCATTACCTCAACCTCTGCATGAGTAGTCAATATTTTCTCGGATTATTGAGCAGACATTAGAATACTATAAAGTTTTTTTACTCCGGTGACGTTTTGGCGTCAGCGCTTTCTTCACAGTCGCAGTGATTCGCTTCGATGCGATGACGAAGACCTGAAGGTTAAGAACGATCAAATGCTAACTATTCATTTCTTTTTCGTACGACCGTTGTCACATTTTACTGTACGAGTCCCACTGCTTTAAGTACTCAGTTCGTTTCTTCGTATTCTTCGCCTCAGAAGTCTTCGATTAGAATAATTTGATAACATATTTTAATCCTTTTATGAGGTCATTTATGGGATATATAAAGTGCTAAACACATGCGTCGGCCTTTCAGCCTCATCAGCAGCATGGTGCCTTTTGTTTGAGCCAATCTATTGTAAGGAGATATACTCTTTACACATAAAGTAATCGACGACGATCGTATTACACTGTACTCGCGCAAGTGACAAGATCGCCCGACAATGCAATGAATAACGGTCGCTTGCTCATGGCTGATAAACTTGATGATCACCTGTATATTCGACTGTTTTCTAAAGACCTGTTGAACATGAGAGGCTTAAACACGTGTGTGGCGTTATATAAGTGCCATAACAGACCTCTCAAAAGCTGAATATATGTTGTCAGGATGCATTAGTTTTGAATAAGGTCTTAAAGATAATCGATTATGAAGGTACTGTCAAAGTACTAAAGTATCAAATTTACGACTCATGGGCAGTCGACTGTCAAATGTTGTAATGCTTGTGATTTTTCACTTGACACAGGTGCAGTGTAAGTTGTTCGTCGTCAAAACCTTTATAAGTGGAAAGAGGGGGAGGTGTTGGACTTCCTTACAAGGAATTGGCTCAGACGAAAGTCATCGTACTGGTGCTGAGGCTGAAAGGCCGAAGCACGTGTCTAGCACTCAATAGTGCCATGGCAGACCTCGTGAAAGGCTTGAAATACTTATCTGAGCGAGCTCTTTGAAAAATTGTAGCATATAAAAGTCTTTGAACAATTCGCGTGTTCCCTACATTAGCATGCCGACCTCGAAATGGTTCAAAATATTCCCTCTGACTTTATATCGCGTGTTGTCACGACTGCTGTTTAAGGACTCGATCTATTTTTATAGTAGAATGCTGGTTAGGACATTTCAATACAGTATAGAGGATATTGAGTTAAAGCGCTCCCAGGTGACTGGAAGAGAGTCTTAAGGTGAACTGTGAAACAGTATATTGCTTCCTCACAGCGTGCATCAGCCGGAACTTGGCCATAGCCCCGCTAATTATTCATTGAGCATGCAAATTCAAATGAAATTCCAGAGCAGTGGAAGGAGTGATTTGCGGTAAAGAAATGGCTGAACATTCTGCTGGGCGGAAGAGCAAAAGAAAGTGGATTCAAATCACATTCTGTGCAAATTCTCTCAGAAAATCTTCTCCATTTGTTCATATGATGTGAGAAAGAATAACACATTTTCGACAAAGTTACTTTTTCGACAACCGAGGTTAACCTCCCAATTACTAGATTATTTTGGGTGTTCAGAGCTTTATAAATCAATATAGGACACTTCGCACTACTGCTTGATTACACTTGCAGTTAATTTTACGCTGCATTCTTCTAGATTTAAACACGTTTACAAATAAAGTATCCTAAACTGAGAAAAATTCAAGTTTCTGAAATTTCCAACGAAAATCTTACATATTTTGGAATCTTACGGCTACAAACATGAAATATACGTTGGGTAACACGTCTTGTCTTACTGGACGAAATTGCTCTGCATTAGTTCATTCTAATTTCTATATACAAGCCTACAACATCATGTTAAAATAAAAAAAGAGCGTTCCTCCTGTAGAAAAATGTTTATCGAATCCAATAGTTTTGTTGTAATTGGTTAAATTCACCTCGAGCTGAGATGTGTTTGTTCAAAGTTCACTTCTTTCGCATCGTACGATTAGCATAGAGATCATGTCGTTGTGAATTAATAAATAAAATGAGATGAATTGATGAATAAAAATGTTGCAGATGTATGCCAGAAAATGCTGAGTGATATGCAAAACTTTCATCATCTGGCAGGAATCGATCCCGTATTTCACTCTTTCCCAAGCACGTCCTCACCAATCACACTATCAAAGCTCTTGTTCTACCAATCTATCTCCAAAAAAATTTGCCGACACTTTCTTTTATGATTAAGCTAACACGAAATCGATTAATCGTATGGAGATATTGAGCTAGTTTGAAAAAATAAAAAATGTTAACTATGTTGGTGAGAATAGCCGACGTGCACGGATGGCCGAGTGGTCTAAGGCGCCAGACTCAAGGGTTCACTTGCCCGCGCGTAAGCGGTTGAGCATTCTGGTACTCGTAAGGGTGCGTGGGTTCAAATCCCACTCCGTGCAGATGTTTTGCAGAAACTCGCAAAACTGCTCGTAGGATAAATTAGGTGTACAAATATGACTGCGCCGATTTTTACGGAATAAGTAGGACAAAACATTTTGTACTGAGGTTAATTTAAATATTGTTTTCATCATTAACAACAATATTTACCCAATTTTTTAGGTAATTTGTGGATGCCATCGAAAAAGAATTTGGCAGGTGAAGTGAGTAAAATATAATGAAACTTTTTTATTTGCTGATTTGTTATTTTTATGTGGTAATGTGACAAAGCAATGTCGGGAGAAAAGTGGGTAAAGTAGAACCCTGCTAAAACCTCCCACCTCACCCTTTTATAAAGTGTTCGATAGCCTCTGCAACATGAGGTCAAGCGTTATCATGCAGCACGACACGAATCACATTGTCGTGTCTAACGGTCCATTCCGGTCGTTTTAATCACAATTCACGGTTTCATTTGGTCAATTGTTGTCGATAAAGTAGTGCATTAACTATTTCACCAGATTCCAAAAGCTCGTAGTAAAGAGCGTCTTTCCGATTCCACCACACGCCCATCTAATCTCTTTCCGTGAATTGCGTTTCCATTTTTCAATCGACTTTACTGGTTGTGCGAGGTCGGTCCATGATCGTTTGCGCTTTGGTTCGTCAAAAAGAACCCACTTTTTGTCTCCGGTTATCATACTAAGGAATCGGCGGCGGTTTTCTCCTGATCATATATGAAACGTAAAGAAAGCCTCCCGTAAATGGTGTTTTTCTGGTAGAAAAGTCGTCATCTTCGAGGTCCTATAAGAACCATCTTATGAAATATTTTGTATTTAAAGAGCATGTAAATGAATAGCGTTTTTAGCGCAATTTCAAACAAAAAAACCTAAATATCTTTATTTCTACTCCTAAATCAGCAAAAAAAAAATTGAACACGAAGTCATATTTGTACTTCTAATAATACGAAAAAGTAAGAAAATAGATTGATGAATCAAATCATAAATCACGTTGATAAAGTATTTGAATAATGCCTCCGTTCTCATAGTCATGGTTTATATGTTGTTGAAATAAGTCATTTGATTCTGGTATATTGAAACAAAACAGTGTACGTTATACATTAAACAAACCCCTATTTTCACTGTATGTCGTGCCACTAATGACGTATTTCTTGCTGTTTATTTTATATCTATTGTAAATTATGGGAAGGACGTTGTGCGGTGCAAAAGTATTTGCGCTTTCACACCGTTGGTTCAAAATGGGTCATAATGCAACAGAGACAACTCCCAATATCAACAACGCATCTGGCTCAGGAATCATAATAAACGTACTGTGCAATAGGGATCGAGGAATTCCGTAAAGAATAGTAAGTTCAACTATGCAAACCGCAACTGCCCAACCTCATCAGAGTCATAGGAGGTGAAATCATCGAAGCTGATCCTCTCAGGACTACAATAGATTTTGCAGAAGAAGTCAACGGCGACCATTCTACTGTTCTCGCTGTGTGAAACGGATTGTAAAAGTAATTATGGTCTCAGCACGATATAAAACTGAAATTATTCCAACACCAATCTAATGCCAAAGTGCCATTCTGTGATGGAAAAAAAAATTAAGTTTTTTTGAACATGTGATTCTTGCCTTTTGAATACCAATGCCAGTAGTGATTTCAATAGTTCGTAAAACGATGGAAGTGATAGTGACTATGCGTAAACATTGATATATTGCCATGGACTTTTTATCAAGCCTTTTTCGAGGCATGGTTTTGCATGTTAGTGGTCTATGTAGGTTTCAACGCCACATATCAGCCGCAAAACATCGATTGAAAGAAAGACAGTGTAGCACATGATATTTCACTTGACAAGCAGTGTGGCATCTCCCTATGCTGAATACTATTAGCAAAGGGAGTGTAGTTTTGATAAGACGAGCGAAACCGTTGAAACCGCACTTATATCACTGATATGCAATACTGAAACTTAAAAAGGCGTAATAGAAAGTCTGTGGAAATATATCAGAGGTCCTAAAACGAGGTTTTCCAGAACTCATCGAATGAAAGGCTATGTGAGAACACTTTCAGCTAACATCGACACTTCAGTAGATTGAGCAGTTGAAAAAACTTATGCGACTTTTTCGGGGAGTTCTAAAGCAAATATGCCGTCGGAGTTATGTGCATGACTGTGATGTTGATAAGCCGATAGTACTTTTTGAGCACAAATACACTCTTCGAGTCAACGAACGAGGTATACTGAAGAGGTTTTTCTACGAGTGCTAAGACCACTTGATCTCATTTCCAAATAAAGCGAATTTTCCAAAGTTCGTTGGAGGAGAAACTCGAAAAGTCGAGTTACTTCAAAGCAAATCATTATCGTGCTGAAGCCGATTTGTAGATATGACGGAAAGGGACGAAGTTCTCAAATTTCATTAGTAAAAGTCTGAAAAATCGAGAAGTTTGGAGTAGAACAGTGTTGTGGAAACTCAATCTTAACATAAATAACAGCACTACACATGCAATCTGAACGTTTATTCAAGTTCAGCAAACTGTGGTAATTGACATTTTTACGTGACCGGACGTTTTCAATCATAGTCGTCCAACAACTGAGATTTCAGCTGATATTTTTGAAGCAGAAGACTTGAGCTGGCAAATCTATAAAAGCCGGAATAGGACAAATCAGTTTTCTTTAGCCTTAAGCTGGCTTAGTATGAGTTTTTTTAACATGTTTTCAATGCATCAGCTCTAGGATTTTGGCTTATTGAGGGGAGAAAGTGATTTCACTAAAAATAAATATTTAGAGAAGATAGGGATCATTAGATTTATCTGGATTGTCTGGCCAAGTATTGCGCTAGTCCTTGAACGGCAAGAGGAGTATATTAGGTTGGAAAGAAAAGTCTGCGACACTTATAAAAGCCATCGTTTTGTGCGACTTTCTGCCACGGTTCGTCAAGTTTCGGTTCTGGTCGAAGTCCATTCCTTCGACATCGGATCAAAGAACTCTTGACATGTTTTTTCTTCAAATTCATCCAACAATTCTAATCGGCGACCCTTCAAAAAGTGTTGCACTGATCGAAGGAAAAGACCAAAGTCGGATGGATCGCAATCTGGACTGTAGGCGTGATGCGGCAGAAACTTTATTCCGTCCAACGCATCAAACTTGTTTTGGTCTTTTTGGCAGTGTGCGGTCTGGCATTGTCTAGCTGCATTAGAACGCTCTTTCGGTTGACCAAAGCCGGGATCTGATCCAAAACTTGGCGGACAAATAACAGAAAGTCGAAGAAAACGATGGCCTTTATTTGAAAGAAGAGCTATTATTGTCTTTGTCTAGGTTTCATGCATAAATTTCCAATTTTTTTACAAGTACCCCAGAACTTTCTTTCCAAGTATGGTACCATTTCGGTTTCCCAGGGTGATTGTATCGTCCTCGAATGATGTTAAATCACTTTAATAATAACTGTTATTGACTTCGCTCTCGTAGAACGTGCACAAGTGATGCATTGTTTGTGTACTAGAGAGGCCACGTGAGCAAATCACGGATATCACTAATGCGACTGTCTGGAAATTACACAAGAACTCCAACAATATCTCAGCTATCTGAGAAAACGTGACACGGCGATACGATTCTCAGACAATCCCGAGTTAACACGACTTTGAGTAGAAAAAAAAGGGTAATGTCGTTTCAATAAATTTAACGGTCAGATCTGATCTGAGAATCATGAATGACCATCTGAAACTGATGGAGTCCGACAAAAAAGCACTCGACTTCCATTTCATCGAATTATTGGGATATTTGTATTGTTTAGCCACATGCGCCATGAGATCTAACGTTTTCATTCTCGGTGACCAGCAAGTGGTAAATTTCGGTTATGAAGTAAATTTCGGTTATGGAGTAACCATAAAGCATCGATATGAAGGAGACTGTTTGCAGAATGTAGAGAATGACACCAATTACAATGTAATAGATCCTATTCAGATTTATAACTGCTAAAAAAAGTCGCTCTGATCACAACTCACCGATTACGATATTGAGTATACAACATGACACAAGAAATGTCATAGTTTCTCATTTATGGAAGGTAAACAACACTAGTACAAGAAGATGTCGCACGTTTAATTTGCATGGTAATTTTTTTGGGGAACTATCAAAGTCCTAACTACAGAGTGTCTGCCGACGAAGGGGATGATGACGATCGGTCTCAAGAGGGTGAAACTAGTCCTTGAAATAAAGACAAAGGCTATGGAACTTTAACACTAGAGGATGTGTACCTTTTGGCCACGTCTCTCATAAATAATTAATAAAGAGTAAAGAAACAAAACTCGAAATTGATTTCACTGAACTTTAGACTATACAAGCTAGATACATGTGGGTTGCAAGTGAACTTCTAATCAACGATTGCAAAAGAAATGCGGTGTTCACCTTTATATACCTACTCAATATAGCTAGTATTGAAGAAAATACAAATTCCGCAAATGGTACAAATATACAAAATACAAATATACAATAAAATATACAAATGAATCTCGATGATACAGCCATATAAGGCTCATAAGGCACAGTGGTTAGAGGTGTTCTGCGCTACAAGTGGTCTATGGTTCGCTCCCATGCCCAAGACTCATCAAGCTTTCTATCTTTCCGTGGTTGGCGTATTGGTAGCAGACATGTCTGGAAGGATAACAGCACTGACTCTATACATCGCTAGGCCACCGCGAGTCATTGTAAAGTCCAGATGTGTATTTAATCACCTCAAACGATGTTGATGATTGGTAATCTTTATTTGAGCCACGCATGTCAGTGGTCTGTTAATGAGGGCTGACTTATAGAGTCCGATACACGTGTTTCGATCTTGCGATCTCGTCAGTCGGCCAGTTGCCCTCTCTCGTCTTTTGCTAATCTCTGTGGGTGCTCCAGTCCCTACAATAAGAGTCAGCGACGACGTACGATTTACACTCTATGTCCGGTAAAAATCGCTGACGAGATCGCAAGATCGAAACACGTGTATCGGGCTCTATAAGTCAGCCCTCATTAACAGACCACTGACA